GAATAAGCCACACCCACTGATTCAAAATATAAAAACAGCATCATTATATCCTACTGCATTTATGCTCCATCTTGACTAACATGTAGAAGTAGCACCAAGAAATTCAGTGCCACAATTTGAAAGTGGAAGGTTTTTTACTCCTTCTATCTCTGCCTTTCTCCATTTCTTCTGGCTGTGTTTAGTTCCTAAAAGTTGTGTTCTCATATCTGTTTTGTACCATTCACTCTTTTTAGGGAAGGTGCTCTTTTCCAATCAAAATCACAGCATGTAAATTGTAAGTGCATAATTTAAACTGCACCTGCTTAATTGTTCTTATAATTGAATCTCTAACATGAATATCAAAGTCACAGATTCATAGATTGGTACCTGATGCATAAGGAAACATCTTTCTTTCAAGAGGTACGCTGCAGACTGTAAACTCACTGCTGATGTTACTCTTCTCTGCACTTAAAGTGAAAAAAACAATTTATTTAGTCATTTATTTGGCAATGTTGTGTGCAGATGAGGTCAGGATTCTGAGCTGCATTGATGCATTTTTAATATTTAACAAACAATTAAAAATTCCAGGCTGAATTTTATTAGAAATCAGCTAAAGGTCAGTTTTGGTGAGTTTCATGGATAGTTTCTATCCTTAAGCTCTAGTGAGTTATCCTATGTTTTTCTGTGCAGCTTGCTTTATTACCTATGTGCCACATTGCTAAGATGCCACCCTTGTGATATCTGCCTTTAGCCACTGGTGGAAGTAGTCACCACTGCCTGGTTCTCCTATGATTCCTGGAATTGATAGCATTTTTAAAATGTGGGTTTGTCACAGGTCAAGTACTGTAGTGGGGAGTTCCCTTGAATTGCTCTGGGGATGTGGGCAGCGATTCGCTAACTCCACAGTTTACCAACAGAAAAAGGAGGTCTGTCCTCTTTCTCCACTGGGCTGCCAGAGGAGACCACAGCCTCAGACTCTGCCAGCCTGGTGTGAAGTTGTCATCTGGGCCAGTGTGGTGTCCATGATCTTGAGGAATATCTCACAAACCATTTAGGACACAGCAGTGTGATTAGCACCATACCCAACATTCTTTGTAAGTGTGTGGCTGCGTACCTTTTCAAATGCTCAAACGTCCCAGGGACGGCAACTGGCAGACTGACGCAGACCGCATCAGAGATTTTCACTTCCTCAGAGGTCCACGCAGAAGAGAGAAAAAAAAGTGGGAATGCTGACCATACCCACAATCATTCATTCCCTGCGACATTAGCAGATGGCAACAACTACCAGCGAGACTGCACATTTAATTTGTCGGGACATTCCAAGCATTGCGATGAACAGCAAAACTGACAACTCACATGAAAGGAATTCGGGTCTTTCAATAAGGATGGGGGAAATTCAACACAATACATTACCTCCACACAATCCACAGTCAAACAGAAATGCTGACGCTGCAATGAAAATCATCAAAGGGTTAATAAAGCAATCAAGCAGCCCAGTTCAGACTTCTACAATCTTTTAATAGAGAAGTGCACTAGCTGAAAACATGGAAAGTATGCCAGTCAAAAGACTAATGCCACACTGCAGCCAAACTATTGTTCCATTGTGAAAAACTATGAAAGGCAGAACTAATAAGTCATGTTAAAAATCTCAGCGGATCAACAGAAAGCCAAATTTCACTGTGACAAAACTGCCAGGTCATTGCCAGAGCTGAGGATTGGTGAGCAATACAGAGCATAAATGTTCTCAGCTAAAGTCAGAAAATGTGGCAATATTGCATCTGTGTTAAGCAGTTGCAGAAATATATGTACAACCAGAGAATAGGCTCCTTAACTGGGGCAGCAGATCAAGAAGAAGTGAAATCTCTCATCACCAGTACTGAACAACCATCGTTCCAGAGATAACAAGGTGTAGAGCTGGATGAACACAGCAGACCAAGCAGCATCATAGGAGCAGGAAGGCTGATGTTTCGGGCCTAGACACTTCATGAAATGGGGGAGGGGACGGGGGTTCTGAAATAAACTGAAACTTCAGCCTTCCTGCTCCTATGATGCTGCTTGGCCTGCTGTGTTCATCCAGCTCTACACTTTGTTATCTCAGATTCTCCAGCATCTGCAATTCCTACTATCTCTGATACAATCATTCCAGAGGTTCACTATTCCCCAGCTTCAGAAATTGATTAGTAAAATACCATGTCAACAGTATTTATCTTGTAAATGATACTCCCTGGAGAAGGAACATTGCTCTAGGCATGGGCAGATACCAAAATAAACCAATGACAGTATACAGGAGTATCATGAGGAGATGTGCATGATTTACGGACTATATAGGAAATGCGTGCACAGAGACTGATGAAAGTGGAACTGATTTAGATTAAAAACTGTTTTGTTAATGAGCCATAATTTGCTCTATGACCGCTTAAATTGAGTAACCTGTGCAACATGTACCTACAAATAATGGTGCATTCACTTTTTAAAATGTTTTTTAGGAGAGGGGGATTTTGGTGAAATACAATTGTACTTAGTCTACTAGCTGCCTTGAAATAGTTATGTGACCCCTAAGCATTTTTTATATGCAGTCTATGCAAACTATTAAACACAGCACTTGAAATGCCAAAATACTCACGACAAAACATAGATATCTTTAACCTGCCCCTCCCCAGAACATTTTTTGAGGTCAGGTGGGATGTATGATGCTAACAAAAACCTATCTGGAACAAACCATCTCACTTTTGTTTAACTGAGTTGACACGGAGAGATATTGGTAATCAGCTTGCACTCAAGGGGTCAGGTTACCATCTAATTATTTTAATGAGATAACAAGCCTCATTTTAATTTCTCTATTTTAAGTTTAACCCTGACTTTTTGGGTCTCCTTGACATTGAGAGATGCAGCAGCTAAAGTGAATTGAAGATGTGCCATTCCAGCAGCAATGATAATTTAGGAAGCATCAGAGTGCACAGACCAGCCAAACTATTTTTCTTTGCCACACTCAGTGGCCTTCCAAATTGCTTCCCCTCCCAATTGGTCTCCAATTAAACACATTGGTTCCCCATCGCAATCCTTCCAATCTATAACTAATAGTTTAGTTAAGCATGATTTCCCTCTTATAAATCCACTATTAATGTGAGGGCAACATGTCTGTCATTCTGTTTTTTTCCTCCCAGTTATTTCAAATAGTGGATTAGTAAGTTCGTAGATGATACGAAGGTGGGTCAAGTTGTGGATAGTGCGGAGGGCTGTTCTAAGTTACAAAGGGACATTGATAGGATGCAGAGCTGGACTGAGAAGTGGCAGATTGAGTTTAACCCTGAAAAATGTGAGGTGATTCATTTTGGAAGGATAAACTTGAAAGCAGAATACAGGGTTAACGGAAAGATTCTTGGCAGTGTGAAGGACCAGAGGGATCTTGGGGTTCATGTCCACAGTTCCCTGAAAGCTGCCACCCAGGTGGATAGAGTTGTTAAGAAGGCGTATGGTGTGTTAGCTTTCATTAATAGAGGGATTGTGTTCAAGAGCCGTGAAGTTATGCTCCAGCTATACAAAAGGCTGGTTCGGCCACATCTGGAGTATTGTGTCCAGTTCTGGTCGCCTCATTACAGGAAAGATGTGGAGGCATTGGAAAAGGTGCAGAGGAGATTTACCAGGATGTTGCCTGGAATGGAGGGAAGGTCTTATGAGGAAAGGTTGAGAGAGCTAGGGCTTTTCTCTTTAGAATGACAAAGGATGAGAGGTGACTTGATAGAGGTGTACAAAATGATCAGAGGTATAGATAGAGTGGACAGCCAGAGACTTTTTCCTAGGGTGGAGGTAGCTATTACAAGGGTGCATAGTCTTAAAGTGAGTGGAGGTAGATACAGGGGAGACGTTAGAGGTAGGTTCTTTACTCAGAGAGTGGTAGGGGCATGGAATGCATTACCGGAGAAGGTAGTGGAGTCGGCCTCATTAGGGGCATTTAAGCGGTTATTAGATAGGCATATGGATGATAGTATAAGGTAGGGGTGGAGGTTAAATAGACCTTAGGTTTAGGGTAAAAGTTCGGCACAACATTGTGGGCTGAAGGGCCTGTACTATGCTGTATTGTTCTACGCTCTATATTCTATGTTGTACATTGGCACACTACAACTGTAGGAGCTGCTCGAGAGACAATAGAAGTTAAGAAGATGTCTTCAATATTTCAGGGTCATTTCCTTTAGTACACTGGGATGCATTCCCCAATTACAGCCTAGTTCAAAGGTCTATCGTCCAAGAGAGAGCCAGGCTTTTACTTTTTGCTGGATTTGGCCAAAAAACAGTTAAAAACTGTTAATCAGGTCCTGTCAAATTCAATTTCAGCAGAATCTGAGTGAAACCTGTTGTACTGGATTTCCTACATACACTGCTTCCCCTGTTTACCCTTCCACTGTCTCCCCACAGTTCATGAGGCTTATATTGGCTATTTTCACATATGAAAGTTTCTAATAAATTGTCAGAAAAGATGAACAGGCATCCTACAGGGTTAGAAGTAATTTTGAAAATGTTCACCAGCAGGTGAATTGAGAACTAATAGTCACACAATAAAGCTTCTATTGCATATTAATCAATTGACTGGACCCAAAGCATCCGCCTTTTAAGGTGAGGATGGTTCAGTGAGTTAACAACAATTATTAACTAATCAATGAGCAAGAAATATGACTTTAATTAGATTTTTTTACTAAATAGTGTCTTGTATATTTTGCTGCTAAATTTGAATTATTTTTGAAGCCAAATTCAATAAAAAGCTCAATAAAATCACAAGGCGAAGCTCAGTGAAAATGATGGATCTGCAGCAAGTACAGGAGTTCCATATCTCATACTGTGGTGAATCATGAGTTAGCAGGATATTTTCGAATGAATTAAGGTGCACTTGGAGCTCAGTGTTCCATTCAAATTTTTGTTTCATTAATTGTTTTACATTCACTTGACTTCTACTTAGTTGTCTCATTCCATGCTCAGCCAACTATATGACTTGTGTTTGTAACTTCTCTAGAAATAGCCAATAGAAAATGATCACAAATGCATCTGACTTTACTAGACGGAAAGAAGAGGAGCCCTTACCCTCAGAATCATTAGGTGCAATTTTACCGTCCCTGGAGCTAGCGAGAGAAATGGCAGGAAAAGGAAAATTATTGGGCACGTTTTCCCTTGCTCCTTTCTCGCCACCTCACCAGGTACTGGATAAGGAAAGACCATGGTGACCTTCTCACTCTGTCACCAATTAAGGCCCTTCAGAAAGTGGTTAGTTTCAAAACTGAAAGACAAAGTGACCTCACTGACTGGTGTGGGAGGCATAATTAATTCCAATCTGTGGGCACACAGAGGCACAGACTGGGGGCAAGGATGGTGTCTAAAAGCCACACTGCCCTTGCCTCTGACTCCCATAACAAGCCCTCTACCTGTGAACACCCCACATGATAAGGTGATACAGATCAGGTAGTTTCTTGCCACTGGATCCCCCAAGGTGGGCTTTAAGACCAAAAAGCTGCTGATCTCTGATTGGTCAGCAGCATCTGGCAACCCAGTACACTGGCATCAAGGCCTGTAATAGGCTAAGAAATTTGTCCATGCTCACCTTAAATGAGCTGACTGCAAGGCGATTGGTCATGTTATCTCAATGGAGGTTATGTGTTAGTTCCTGCCAAACACACCAATCTCTTATACTTAGCCCACAAACTTCTACCCATCCTTTTGAACATCAAAGATGAATTACAGCAGGTGTACATGTCCAAAGGCAGAGAGCTAATATTGGTGCACAGAAGCAAAGTAATGCAGATGCTGGACATCTAAAATAAAACAGTAAAATATGTATGTTTCCCATCTGTGCATGTACATTTGCATCCAGGACAGATGTAAAATGTGGGAAAACACAGCAACAATTATAGTGAATAATTGTAATTGAATGAGAATTAAATTTCCTGCTTTCAATCAAAATAAGGCTCATCAATTTTCGTACAATACCATACGGCACCTATGGAGAGACCAAAAGCTTAACTGTCACCAGAAGTGCCATTTTGCAAAGGAAGTTTCAGGCTGATTATAATTCGTGCTGAGTTTTCACACACCTTACAAATAATTTATAAGTGAATCTAATAAATTGTCATAGCCTGGGTACTTGATTCTTGCTTGGGACAAATTTTGTGCTCCTGACATGCCCACTTTTCCTACAGTGCTACTTGCTCACGTTTCACACCAGCAGACAATAATGCTTCACCCAGCAGCAGTGTTGCCCGTGAACCCAGGCATTCAGAAGGTCAGGAAGCATCTGAGGAAAGAGAGAAAAACACGGTCAGCATTTCAGGTTACTACGATATCATCAGAAATATTGATGAGATGGAGATGGAGAACATTATTATTGGATTCAAGATTAAGCATGCAATTGTTGCAGTATTGATCCAGCAGTTCTTTAACACTATTTGCAAAGGGTTTCTTGGCTGTCTTCTCACTACAGAATTAAATATTTAATGCTCACCTTAATGGTCATAAACAGCCAGTCCAGCTCTTAACGATCTACTTCCTCTTTCAGTCCAATAACATTAACCAGGTCAGTATTTATTCAATTCTACTGCAACCACCGCAGTATTAAAGTTTATATTTACCTAATCAGAACATTGTTTAAACGAGATTGGGAAAAATCGGCTTACACAAAGACCAATAACACAAAAGAAATGAACTTCTCACACCAATAGAAAATCCCAATGAACAAGGTTTCACTTTTTAAAATTTTTACTTTAACAAATTGTTGATAATCAAGATAAAGAAGAATTAATAATTAAATTCTATTTTAAATAGCTGGTGCAACAAAGACAGATCTTACAGACTTCTCAGATAGTCCCTTCAACATAGATGGCTTAATCTCAGCTATATTCTGTTTTCTCAGGTAGAGTTTCAATGTCTGTCTTCATGGAGGAGTTTGACCTGAAGTCCCAGCTGACAGCAGCTTTACTACAATTGAGTTTCACTAGTACAATGTCCACCAAAAAACACACCTTTGCAGATCTTTCACTTCACTGCCTCTGGAACTAGCCTTTTCAGTTTCCTTCTTCAGCTCCACCACAATTTTCCATCTCAGCTATCCAATGCTTACAGTTTCTCTACTGCTGTTGAATTGTTCTACAATTGGAAAATCTGAGGATTTAGATTCTTTCCTGTTCTGACTCCTAGTTGAAATTTAACATCACTGTCTGAGACTTTTAGTTTAGCTTCCAATTACTCACATGCTGATTTCTCAAGTCTGATAATACAGCCAGCAAATCAAATTAATAAACTTCCTCAGAAACCTGAACTTGATTTCTGTTTTGGATTTGGGATTGTCTCAAAAAAAAACACAGGCTTTCAAAGCACAGTGAATGCAGAATACAGCTTGCAAACTTAGGATATCTTCAAGACTGGTCTTCTTTATAGAATCTTTCAATTTTCTTTCCTCATTGAGCTTGGAACAGTCTCCAATCCTCAACCACTTACTTAAATGACTTTAGAACATTCTGAATAAAGAGTTATATAAGACTTGAAACATCAACTGTATTTCTCTCTGCACAATGCTGCTGAGTAGTTCCAGCATTCTCTGTTTTTGTTTCAGAATGGCACAAAGTGCTTTACAATGAAGAACATTCAAAGTGCAAATACTGTTGTATTGTGGGATGTGAGGATAAGAAGAGAGCAAGTCACAAGAAGTGGAAGAGGCAGAAAGGAGGTTTGGAATATGGAGAACAGTCAGGAAAATATGTTTCAAGAGAGGCAATCCCAAAATGTCTCTTGGAATGTAGAAAAGTCCATAGCAGCAGAAAGTGGGTTTGTACCTTTCAGTGGCGTGGCGCATTTAAGTCGCTGCTCCTGAATAGCTTACTCTGTGATGTGGAATGGAAAGGGCAGACGCTAAGAAGCTCTACAATTAAGGAGATAACAAAGTGTAGAGCTGGATGAACACAGCAGGCCAAGCAGCATCAGAGGAGCAGGAAGGCTGACGTTTCAGGCCTAGACCCTTCTTCAGAAAATTACAATTAAGGAAGTAGCCAAGAACTCCTAAAACCCTTTAACTGTGTGCAGGCCTTTATTCAACACTGCCACCTTGTGGATTTTTAAATGGAGTTACGTGGGCATTTAAAGGCCTTAAAATACAGGTGCGGGGAGGGGTAGTTTTTGCGGGTCGATTGGGAATCAGCAGGGTCAGGAAAATTTGAAAACAAAAAAAAACTGGGAGTGGAGCAGAGATAACAAGGTGTAGAGCTGGATGAACACACCAGGCCAAGCAGCATCAGAGGAGCAGGAAGGCTGACGTTTCGGGCCTCGACCCTTCTTCAGAAAGAACAGGATTGGCATCATGGTAAGTAAGGTGTATGTAATTAATAAAGAATCTCAGTAGGTGTCAATCTGCCAAAGGTGGAAGTCATTGAAACGGAGTCTCAGTGACAGAGTATCTACACAAAAGCTTTGAGATATACTTCCTGCAAGAAGCTGAACAGTCAACTGTGTGCCCTTCTTATATTATCAATTCATTTTCCTAATTATGTTTTCAAAGAGAAAACGTTCAAGAGATGTGATTTATGATTCCAATTAATCTTTTGCAGAAGTCGGACATTTTTAATGACATCCTCCATTTCATTCTACTATAATCATTGATTTATATTATGAGAAAAACCATAATCTGGCTGTTGATCATTATTACCCTGAGATTCAAAGATCTTGAAACTCATGCAAAAATGAATTCAAAAAGCCTGGAGCTATTAGAGATCTGTGACCATTACTGGAGGCATGCTCAAGTTGAACCATCACTTGACTGATGCCAATAAAACACTGACCAAAAAAAAGTTGTTTTCACAAAATAATCTGACAACTGTATTGTTTTCAACACTGCCTGTTAATATCCTCCAAGAGACTAGAATCTTATTGTTTTCAGTTTTATATTGTGGATGATATGATTTGAATCTAATTAAAAGAATTGGCAGGTAAGAAAAACTGTCAGCATATGTTGCATTGGCTGGGTGGATATATTAAAATTTCTCAAGTTACCATTTAACATTAAAGCACAAATGGACATCTCTTCTATCAAATGAATCCAGAGTCTAGGATCTTGCACTCTCCCATCACATATTCCTTAGGATAATAGGGCAAAGAAATGACTTGGAAATTTTGTACAAGCCAACTCCTCAGACTTTAAAATCATCTCCTTGGTAATTTGCTGAGTACTGTGCTATTGTGATCTTTCCATAGCCATTTCAATGGAATGGAGAAGTGTAAAATACAGTCATTTAGCCTTTGAGAGAAAAAAATGGAGAACACTGTCATGGTAACTTATTTAAAATTATGGGCGATCGCAATTTGTAATTGAAATATAGAAATTGATAATAAATTATTAAACAAATTATTGATGACTAGAGGTAATGTACCTCGATTCATGCTGGAAACCATACAGGATCATCTGCATTTGGCAAATACATGTTAATTGAGTATCTAACACACAGATAGACCACTGGTATGGAATCCCAGGATAGCCTCAAGTTTAAAACTTTACATTTTTGCTAATTCCAATTTGCATAAAGTAAGCCATTTCATTTTTTACCCTGTCCCATATTGATAGCTACATCACATACCAGACATGTTCCTTACGGCCAACATTTATAATCAGATACAAATGGCATTAATGCTGGTGCTTGTTTGCAAGTCAATTGTAACAAGAATGTAACACAACATAGGGTTGCCTTCTTAATAAATCAGAGCCTATTGTTATCAATTCAAGGGAAATTTGGGTCTGTCTATGTTTGTAGGTGAAGTTAATGCTTAAGGGAGATTATATCTAACTGATAGCTATCATTTCTGTTTTTCTCCTAAAAATGTGAAGGTTGCATTATTCCCATAGGGAAACTAACTGTCCACATTTCTCAAATTAAAGGGCTGATCCGTACCAGAGATTGCAATAGTTATTTTGGCATGTTTCATGGAGGATTTCTCTCTGTGAGGCCTAGGGGTTTTTTTTATGCAATCTTCCAAAATATGCCTCATTATCTATCCAACATGCCAGCATCATGTTCATCCACTTACCGCAGGCAGAAGTAATAGTTGCTACCAGGACCTCCCAGGATTCTTGGCAGCACTGCAGTCTTTAAAGTTCATCCGTGCACGAGCACTACAGTCATTAAAGTTCAGCCATGCACCAGGCCAAGTGCTGACTATCCATCGCTGCTCTGCATGGTTCCAGTCAATTGTTGTAGTTATGTCAGACAGAGGGAAACTGGCACCCAATTTTGCTAATTGGGGCCTGGTTGATTGATGAAGTGGGAGGTACAAGGTGTCAGTGCCCTCGGACCATGCCCTCCGATGTTGGTGACTGATGGAGGTCTGGAGGAGTGAGGTAGCAAGCTGTGGTCACCAGGTTATTGCTCTGAGTTCCATGTTAGGAACTGTTGCTGTCTAGTTTCTGTCTGACAAATGGGAGAATGGGAAACTGCATATCAATGAAGTGAGATGATGTAACATTGAGGATGTTAATGCATGCTAATAGAGCCTCTTGTTGCTCATTGGGAAAAGCTTGTCTCACCGTTCTCACTTGGAAAATGGGACTCTTTGCTCTCGACTCTGAGAAGCTCCTCACTGACCATTGCAGATGAATTCCCTTAATTTCCTACTTGTTCAGCACCGGAAAGATTCTGCACAAAATACTCCAATGTTAGAACCATTTGAACTAAATTAACAAAAGAAAAACAGGGAAGCAGGTGGGAGGAAACATTGCCTTCCAAAACCTAGATTGATTTTCTCTGTCCCTTTTAAATTCTCATTCATGCATCCAGCAGCTGCCTAGAAATCCTTCTGTTATAAAGCAGAGGTTGATCCCCCTCTGAGCACTAAAACCAAAGCACCTCGCCCTATAATCTGTAAAATGAGTATGAAAAGTGGTGTAACCTGCCTTTCAGCAACTTCTAGTGGTTAAATAAAATCATTCCCTGACACTCACTTTAAAATCAACAAGTAACAATTTAATAATCTAACTCTAACAGTGAACAAATTAACAAAACTATTAACAAACCAAATAAACCCCTTCTAACTACTAACTATTTCTGAATAAAACAAGGTTCTAATGGTTTGCTGTTCCAATAAATATAACTCCCACATATATAATAGAATTTACAGCCAGGTTACAACTCTTTTGGAATGCTCAGTGCCTTCTTTGTTGACTATTCTGTCAGGAATGCCTTATCTGTCGATGTTTATCTCAGGAATATTCACTAGTTGTGCCGTGGGTACCTTTTTTATTTAAATGGCGCTTTCTCTAAGACATATAAGAGTCTGTGAGAGCTAGTGATTCTCTCTTGAGAGCTGCAGGCTATTAACTCTGGCAGGTGGCAGTCCAACTGTCCCCTTCTTTTTTACCCTTGATGACATATCAATTTCTT